TGATGCTTCTTATGTATGGGTGGTGGTGTTTCCCTTTTTAGGTTATTAGTTTTAGTCTGTCTTTTTTTTTTGTATTTTTGGGTTGTTGTTTTGTTGGTTTTTTTTTTTAATTGAGCAATGTGAGTGAACAATGGCAGCATTTCATTGTTCTCAAACAGCTGATACACTAGATGTTTTTTCAATGACCAGGAAACTATATACAGAGAAGCACTGCTGTATAGATGTCTATTTTGCTTTGTTTTTTTAACGTTTGTCAATTTTAAAAATGTTTTGCATCCTTGCTGACACGTGTACAAATGTGTTGGGTTAACACACACACAGGAAAAAAATACTTGGAGAAGAATTACAGGTGACACTGCAAGGCAATTAGGGATTTGTGCCTATGGTTGAATGGTGACAGCCTTTATCTGCAAATTGCGGTAAAATTAGTCCTTTTCAGTACAAGATGAAGATAATTGTGAAGCTGGCTGGATTATCTCCTTATTTATTCATAAATATTAATTGCAATATACTTCAAGACTCAGATCAGAATCTTGTCATCCTGTTATTTTATCTGAAACATTCACGTTTTGTGACTATTCCATGCTGCAAGCTTAAATCTAGCGGAGTTTGAGTTTATTCTTTGTCCTTTTTTATTGTGTGCCTTAGAAATAGCCTGAAGGCTCTGTAGTGCTTGTTAAAGCCTGGTTGGTAGTTAAATCACCCACTAATTTCAAGGGGTAGATCCTCAGAACAGATGACAGATCTGGGATTATTTCTTAGGAGGGGTGTTATTTTTGATAGTAGAATAGTAGATAGAGAATAGTAGAATACTTTTCTCTTCTCTTGCTCAACTGCATGTTGAGTAAGTTAGAGACACTGAAAGGAGAAAACAACAACCAGACTTGAATCACTTACACTAGGCACTGATGCAGTAAATTAAAGCAGCTATACTCTCAGCTTAGGACTTCTGGATACTCTAAGTCTCTTATTCTCTGTTAAGAGGATAAGCCTTGAATACAGCTTAAAATCTCTCATTTTCAAAGCATGTTCTTGTGGTGTATACTTGCTGTACAATTACTCCCATTGTTAGCAGATCTTCCTCAAGCATGATATTTTCACAGCACAGTTGAATTGAATGAACACTCCTTCCAAGTAACTTTAAAGAATGTATGAATATAATTGAATCACTATGATCTTATTTATTCACTCTAAGAATGAATATTACAAAATAAATTTCAGTACCATCACTCAACATGTATTCAATTAGTTTTGTCTTTCTTCCTTAGAATATCCTCACATTTTCCGCTAGCTTGTTGGAATCACGTGATGTATCACTTCATTATTGCTAGGAATTAACGATTATTAAGAACATGAGCATGAGAAATCAAAATCTAAATAATCTACTATATTTAACAAGATTTTTAAAGAAAGGATTGTACCAAAGCAGTGGTTTTTGCAGCCACTGTGGCCCATGTATAAAAATTGTTTCAAAGTTTGCACTGATAGAGGTAGCGAATCTTAGGTTGGAGGTGGAAAGAAAGAATAATTAGGTTGTATCAGCACAATTACATGAAGAGTTGAAATAGGCAGATGTGTTCTTATTTTTTTGAACATGGAGAACCTTTATTCTATTAAAAAAAAATTTATTATCTTGTGTTTGCACTAAGTTCAGGGTATGGTTAGGAACAGTTGTTGGAAAAGGCTGATGTTCTAGGGTAATATACTGTATACATCTATTTCTGTACACATTTGTAATGTAGTTGGAGATGTTTGCCTAAGCCAGTTGAGCTGCTCCTTGATGAAGTTAAGATGCTGTACAAATAGACAGAAATCAAGTGAATTTTTAATGTTAATTTCCAATGAACCTCACCAATTTTTTTCACACCTTATGAAGTTGATCTATATCAAGCCCATCTACACTACTGCTGAGCTATCTCACACTTCTGACAAGATACAGTTTTTCAGAAGGGGTAATGATATTAAGTGCACTGTGCCGCGTGTGTGATGGGGTAATTGATTCAGACCATGGTGGCTCCAGGCAGGGAAGTCCATCTCCTTTTGTGAAATGAGAACCTATGCTGGCCATTATGCAAATAAAAACATAAAAGCTTAAGCTCCCTGCAGCTCTTAGTTCACAGAAGTAGTTTATTAAGGAGTACATCTGTCTGACTTCCTTCATCATCCACAAAGCACTACCTAGTTGTCTTCTGCTGGGTTTATATTTGCAGTCTCTGGGAACACAGCTGCCTGCTGGCACTTGCTGTTGCTAGAGCAGCAGGAGTTTCTGACAGGGGATTTTGACAAGCCTAATTGCTAGAACTGTTGAGGCTGCCTGCTGCCTGAGATGGTCACAATATCCCTAGGCTATTTTTTTTGCTTAAAAAAAAATTTCTTTTGCTTCTTCCTTTTTTAAAGAAAGAGTCTCCTTTCCCTGAACAACTAATTGAATCTGAAAATTAAAATTCAATTGTATATATCTCTTCTACATATAGTTTTAAAATAAAATTATGAGGTTTAATAGAAAGTTAGCAATTTAGAGATCAAAAGCCCTTGTGCCAAATTTTACATCCTACCTTATACCTGCCAAGATAAGTGGAGAGGGAGCTTCTTGTAGGCAAGGAAGAGATCCTGATTTTTTTTTTTTTTAAATTTTTCATCACACCATCTGCAGATAGCAGTATGCAAGACAAATGCCTTGTCAGATAAGCCTAAAACTTATTTAGCAGATTAGAATCTTTTCCAAAATAGCATGTGTTAAATGCCAAACATGTCTGGATGGTTATGAGCAAAAAGTAATACCAGGCCAGTTTTCAGGTTATGCTCAGAAGAAATATGGGCTAATTCATCTCAAGTGCAGGTAGTTTAGGCTATTACTTTCTCTTTAGGATTTGTAGTATCAAAGAAATGTTATTTTTCTTCTTTCTTTTCGTCTCCTGAGTTAAATGCCTCTTTTATCCTATTATGTGATAGGCCAGCTAGAGTAGCAATACAGAATGGAAAGAGAATGGGTAGATGAGTTTTACCTGAGGTTTCAAATCTTTTTTTATTTTTTTCTTCAGTAAAGTATTGCAAAAGCTAAATTCATAGTGCCAAAATAACTGTGGTAGGGGAGAACGTTTAAGCCTTTCCGGGGTGATTTCCCTGCCAGTGTGTCCGGAGTGGGAGTTAGTGGATTTATTAAGCCATTTGGTGATCTTTGGAAGACCCTCTCAACCACTTATCCTCTGCTGGTGGATTCCCTATTGCTCCCTGCTAGTTCCCATGACAGTATCAGTAGTCATGGGACATGTAGAGGGGCATGGTTCTGCACTGCAAATAGCAGGAGTTACAGTTGAGTGGTATAGAAATCTGTGCAATAGCATCATAGTGAGATACTGTTGTATTACTAGAACTCAAAAATATATGTTGACAGTGGAAGCTAAAGCATTGTGATAAGATTATTGAGAGGAATACTTAAGAATTTGTATTTTTTTCCTTCAGTGTTCCCAAGCCAGCCTTATGATACAGTACTGAGCAAGATAGACTAAAGATTCCGTTGCTTACCAGACAAGAAAAAGCTGACAATCTCAGAGGAAAAATTAAATCTTTCTGCAGATACAGTGCATGGGGGACCGTGTCCTGTAATAGAATAAATACTGTTGGCCTGGATCCAACTGCACCTTCTGAGGGAGTTGTTTCAGATCCTCCTGCTGTCAGTGATTGAGAGCTTGCTTCTAGCCGCCATCTTGATTTATTCAGAGCTTGTTCATCTGCCAGCCTCTTTGTTTATCTGAATTACTTTTTTCTCTCTCTTTTTTTTTCCATCCTGATTTATTTGCAGAGAATGATTCTATCTTCTTCTTGGCCTTTTGCGTTGTTAACCATGCCAAGTTCCTTTAATTTTTTATTGGCCTACTTGCTCTCATCTTCACCTCAGTCAGTATAAATTTGTGGAAGATTAACATGTGACAGTAGTATACACTGCATTCCATAAGGGATTTTTCACCTAACAGTCAAACACTTTGGGTTGACAGTCCTCCATAGGAAGGCTACTCTGAAAGTAATGCATCCTATTTTATTATTTTGACTCATGACTTCAGAGGCAGATGTTGGTGATATGGCAGTAGAGATTTAACCTTCCTGTCATTATTCCATTACATTTTGTTGCTGTGCAACAGCTGGTAGTAGAGAGGTAGTCTGATAAAGTGGATTTTGACATGGAGGTGAATATGAAGCAGAAGTGTGGAACTGAATTCATCCATGCAGAAAACATTGCAACCATTGACATTCATCAGTGCTTGTTGAATGTTTGCAGAGACCAAAGCAGATGTGGAGGTGAGCATGGTGGGGAGGTGGGTGATGCATTTCAGCAGCAGTGAAAACAGTGGCTCACTTCTGGAGGTGCTGTGTTGAAAAACAGTGCTTTGTAGCAGACAATTTTCTCTACTAGACAGAGTTAATGTGGTCTTCTTATCTTTCCATTTCCATAGAAATAAGTAGGAAGCATTACTTTCAGAGCTACCTATGTTGAAGTTGATACAGGATGTAATTGAAACAAAAAAAGTGTTTTACAGGGAAGGATATCAAGCAGCTATGAAATGGAAATAAAGTATTTAATAAATACACTTCTAATAAATGAGTGCAAGAAAACTCTAAAAAGACTGTTTCTTAATTTTAAAATAACTGTACCAAAGGTAATTTACTGCTTTCTTTAGGGGAGGAAACTGCTAGGTCAGCTACTTGTTTTTTCTCATCTGTAATAATTGGCACTCACTGTTCAAAATTTTTCAAGTCTTGATGGGTGGTAAGACTTACTGATCTCACCTAGCTCTGATTTTGCTGCTTCTCATGAAGCTACTTTCTCTGCTTGACATTGTGATTCTCATTGCTCTGCTTCTCATCTGCATATCCATGCTTCACACAACTATTCCCTCTGCTCACTGCTCCCACTAACTGTGCATCATATCTCTTTTGCTAGCTGTGCTTCATAGTGCTTTACTCGTGATTTTCTCATCTCATCTTGTTCTTCACTGTGTTAGCTGTTCTAGCCAATTTCAGCAGCTTTGCCAGCATGGTGAACTGACCCCAGCCAGCAATTACACACCTATTAGCCACTCATTCCCTCATACTGGGTCAAGATAAAGACAGTCTAATGAGTGAAAAGGAAAAACAGAAGAAAAAAAGAAAACCCAATATATGCAGAAGAAATACATTGCCAGCAGGCCAATCCCTAACTACTCTCTGAGAAACAACTATTTTGGAAAATCTACCCACCTAGTTTTATTTTTGATCCTCTTGCCAAACCCCAGCCTCCTCTCTGGGGATAGAATGAGAAGCACAGAAGACCATGATTCTGTACAAGACTGTTCATAAAGAGCTAAAAGTTTTGTGTATTAACTTTGTTCTTACCAGAAGTCTAAAATACATCACTACCCAGGCTACTACGAAGAAAACTGACTCCATCTCAACAGGTGTAGTATAGCTAGTAACTTTTGTTTTAGAAGAGAAGACAGCACAGAAGAACATGTAAGGAATACAATCATGTTTGATAACTACTGTATCTCCTACTTTTCAGGAAGCTCTTATACTAAAAGCAAAGCATTTCCTTTTCAATAATGTCTTGGAAATATACAGCAGTCTTCGCTGAAATTAAAGGATTGATCAAGCTCTCTTTTGAAGTTATGGGGCTGAAAAATCTTTAATTGCAAACCTTCTTTAAGTCAGTGTTTGCCACATGGACTTATATTCTTCACCCAAAGGCAGTTAGATAAGTATTACTGAAGATGTCTAAAGCAAATCAGGAGATGAGTTTTCCTGCCAAGAGCTTTCTGGTAGACCTCATAGTAGTTATACATCTGACACAAAGCTTGAAATATATTCACACTGTTCCAGAAAAAAAATGGTGTTTGGAGGACAAAATGGTGACCGAATGAGGAGCAGAAAGGATTTTTGAGGTAAGTGATCTAAGCAGTTATTTTTGTTTTAAATTTCTTCACCTGTATCCTTGATAGGTATTTTAAACTGTTATTTGATGTGGATTTTATAGGTTTTTTTTGTTTTTTTTTTTTTTTTTTTACATTTTATACTAGCCATTTTTAAGATACAGATGGTTTAGGTAACTGAGCACCTCTATGTAGGTACAGTATATATATAAATTAAAGGCTCAAGTTAGAATTTTGAGTTTAGATCACCTGTTTGCATTATGAGAAAAGCTTATCTGTTTAAATAAAAGCATACAGGTAGGAAAGCTCTCACAGAAACAGTAAAGAGAGGTTAAGCAGAAAATGCAAGTAATTTACATTGAGATAATTTGATCCTTTGCAGAAAATATAAAATTAAAATTTCTTTTTGCCATTAAAAACTACTATTCCTGTGGATAAGGTTTTGTTATGTGCCTACAATATCCTGGACTTGGAGGGCTGTCCATATTACGCTAATGAAATTATTCTCATTTCATGCACATCTGCCATATGCTTATTTTTGTCAACACAAGCAACCACTTGGAAACACATTCCAAACCTTAATTTCAAACATGTTCTTTATTTAATGTAACAAATTGAAGTGAAGTCATATCTGAACTATTGTCTTGAGTTCTTATTGTCCTTACTATTTTATTACCCCCCCTCTCCTAATCCCTATGCGTTTTGGGGATTTTGCAGCTCAGAGGTTGTACAGTCAATGAATATACAGATGTTATGTAATATACAAATGAGGTATACCAGAGAACTTGGCTACAAAGTTATTACACCAAAGCAGAAAAGATGGGACACTTACCCATATCCTAGGCTTACCTATGAAACTCCAGCAGAGCAGACCTCCAGAAGAGATTCTTCCCCCACTGGTAGTCAGATCTTAAATGGGTCTAGGAGAGGTAGAGCCAGGCTCCACCCCTTTTGGCAGCACAGGTGAATTACCTTCACCTGTGCTCCCATGGCTGACTCATTGCTTGCCTCAGGTAATCAATCAGAGGTTCAGGCTATGATTCAGTAGTTCCCATATAGAAGTCCGTACAAAATTTTTTGTATGTAATTAAGAAGATGTAGAATGCTAAAAATGCACTAAAATCATATTAACTTGTAGGAAGTCATTGTACCTTTTGAATGCCTCTGCACAAATATAGACTTTGGTATAATGTTCCACCTACATGTGTTGCTAATAAACGTACTGAGAGAGAGGAACAAATGCACAGTGATTTATGAGTCACTGGTAGGAGTAAACTCCAACATATTTATAGTAATATATGTCTTGTTTTGCTTCATGGGAAATAGCTGTTTTACACGTTAATTATTCTCATTTAAAACGTTAAAACCCATCTCTTTTTTGCTGCATGTCAAGCTCTTAAATACATGTGAGTGCTTCTTTGAAAGCAATGCTCCCATTTTATTATGTTTGCCTGTAATGTCAGAGGCAGATATTGATGATATGGCAGTGAAGAGGCTAAACCTTACCACCAATATTCTGTTACATTTTGTTGCTAAGTGACAAGTGGCAGTAGAGGGGAAGTTTGACTAAAATGGCATCTGACATGGTGGTGCATATGAAGCAAAGGTGTTTCATTGAATTCCTCCGTGTGGAAAAAATGACATCCACTGACATTAATCGATGATTGCTGAGACCAAAACAGTGCATGTGAGCGTTGAGGCAGATGGTAGCATGGTTGCAGTAATGTGAATGACAAACCATGTTCCACACAGCAACGCACAGTTGTCACATCAAAAGATGAAGAGCAAATTGGCTAATGATAGTGACTATGTTGAAAAATAGTCTTTTGCAGATGAAATTTCCTCTATCAAATCATGTAATTATACTCTTTGTATCCATTGCAGTTTCCAGGGAAGTATATAGGAGCCATTATTTTCAGAATGACTTATGTAAGTTAAAATAAATAAGTAAACCACTCCCTCACAGGTTTGATCCAGACAGTGACCAAGAAGTAGTTACTCTAATTCTCTATCATTCTGTAGAGTAATAGATACAAATTATCCTGTGACCTGATTTATCAGTCCAATAAAATGACCAGTATTCTTCAGAATGCCTGTCACAGGATTTCTTTGATTCCAACAATGTATGGGGACAAGCCCATAGTTACAAAAATTAGCTAGAAATCATTCATTTGTTGTGGTTTATCTTGATATATGAACTCTATGCAAATACAGTAGCAAGTAGAATGTTTTAAAGTGTGAGGGTCTTCTGTGTTTAGACCTCATACATTTGTGTATGTTGTGTAAGGTTTTGTAAACAACAAACACTGCAACCTATTAGGCTGCAAACAAGGCACATTTGCTTAAAGACCAGGTGTGGGGAATTGTATGTTCTAATAATCAAGGAAAAGTCAGGATCCATTACTACAAAAAATGCTGATTATCTGTGTTGCAAAGGCAATGAATTGACTTCTTATTTAGTTAGTTAGTTAGTTTCTGGTGTCACAAATATATCAGTTGCACTTCTTTACTTCTACTGTGAGTGAACAGTGATCAACTTTTCATTAAGTGGCTATCCAGGGTACCAGAAAAAAAATATTCATGCAGCTAATTTCCTTTCTTAATCTATGAGTTAGACATAATAATTTTAAGAGCTTTTATCTTTTGCCCTGTAACTAGTGTCCTGAGCTGGATTTTGAATTATGTTTTACCACTGTTGCGAGTTAGTAACACAATACAGGGTTCTCTTGCCAGGAAGATTTCTTTATTGGTGTACTGATCATGATCATGACGTATGTCTCTCTCTCTCTACTTTCTAAAGCAAGCCTTTTATATTCTAACATGCATATTCACTACATTTCCACTAATAATCCATTGGCTAGAAAGCAAGCAAATTCCATAACAAGTCTTCATAATCAGCAGAGAATTTATCTTATGGCTAGGTATAAAACACCCCTGTTTATTCAGACCCTCTACCTCCTTTCTAGAGCCTCATTATCAATTACTTGAGACTCGATGAGACCAAGCTGACCTCTCCATCTCCCGTATCTCCTCCTTCTTTACTAATGAAAAAAGCATGCAGTTTGGCCTCGACTCTCCCACACACCACTTAAAGTATGTGGTTCTCTTCTCTTTCGTTGTTTTTTTAATTCTCTATGCCCATGAAAGCACTACCATGGGAATGTTTCCTTTGTGCTTACCTGATAATTATTCAGGTATTTCCCCTCCTCTTGAGGAGTCAGTCGGAAAACTTGCAGCACATTTGTTTTGTACTGAGACAAAACGTAGTTCACTGCAAATGACTTGGATGCATTTATTTGTCATCTACTCTCCTGTCCTGGGACAATTCCAATTACTCTTCTACTAGACCACACTTCTTCTGAGAAGACTTGGTAGTTAATTTATAATGTTGTACCTTGTTAAACCATCCGGTGTTGCAGCAAATTGCACTATCCAAGAATGAAAATATTTCCAGGACTGTTTTCCTCTATGCTAGATGCTGAAATCCTCACAATTTTTATACTTTTATGACAAAATTTTGAGTCATCTTTGCTTCATTGGCAGCTTGCTAGAGAAGTAAATCTGCTGTCTTCTGTATTCATCTGAAGAGCGAAGGAGTTACAACAAATACTCTTTCAAAATATCTCCTTTCACTGAGTAACTAGGTGGCTGCTTTATTTTTCCTCCTCATAATGGAAACAAGAAAATACAGCTCAGGTGGAGGTTCTCCCAGCACTGTTTCTTGTCTTGGACAGCTGGTTCATGCCTGGGGGAAATCGTAAACATAAAGCAAGCACAGAATGGCATTTCCACTGAAATTGAATTCAGCATCTAGGAAAATATATGAGCAGGTGATATACCTGAGTAGGTGCTTTAAGAACCGAAAAAATATCTTTGTAGTATCTTGGTATGATAGACATGATGCTACTTGTTCAGAGTAAATTTATGGCAATATCTACAAAAAAATGTCAGCCTTCCAACTTCAACTTCTTGTAGCAGAAAAAATGGTATTGGAAGATTGGGAGCTTTAATTTGCTTTAAATATTGTTTCAACCTTCCGGTTTCTCTGTTGACCTGACTGTTGGTTTTGTTTTGTTTGTTTGTTTTGAATACACACATTCTATATATAACCCGTTTGATTACATTCATGGTTTTCCATTCCAGGACATCTTTCACGTCTTGCTTTCAATCACTGTGCCATGAACATTATGAGGTTCAAGTAATTCAAATTCAAGGTCTTGCACTTTTGCCTCAGCAATCCCCACTGTCAATACATGCTGAAAGATGAAAGAACAAGAGCACAGCCCTGCTGAAAAGAACTTGGGAATACTGGTGGATGAGAAGCTGAATGTGAGCCAGCAGTATGCCCTCACAGCCCAGAAGGTCAACCATATCCTGGGTTGTATCAAAAGAAATGTGACCAGCAGGTTGAGGGAGCTGATCCTTCCTCTCTGCTCTGCACCAGTGAGACTTCACCTGTAGTAATGCATCCAGGTGTGCAGTTCTTGAACAGGAGAGATATGAACACATTGCAGCACATCCAGAGAAGGGCCACTAAAATGATCCAAAGGATGAAACACCTCCCTTGTGAGAACAGGCTGAGAGAGCTGGAATTGTTCATACTGAAAAAGAGAAGGCTCCAGGGAAACCTGCAAGTTGCATTTCAGTTTCTAAAGGGGGTGGTTATGAGAAAGAGAGAGACTTTCACAGGTCTACTGTGATAATGAAAGGGGAAATGGTTTGAAACTAAAAGGCAGCAGATTTAGATTGGATGTGAAGAAGTCTTTTATGGTAAGTGGGAAGGTACTGGAATAGATTGCCCAGAAAGTTGGTGGATACCCTGTCGCTGGAGAGATTCAAGGGCAGGCTGGAGGGGGCTCTGAGCAACAAGAGCTAGCTGTAGGTGTCCCTGTAGTCTACAGAGGAGTTGGACCAAGTGGGCTTCTAAGATCCCTTCCAACTCTAACGATTCTATGAATTACAAAAGTATTGTTTGTTCCTAATGTACTCAGTTTGAATTAATCTTTCCTATATTCCCCCCTTTTGTTGATTTTATGCATTTATAACTCATCTTTTCCTAATTTAGATTTTAAAATATTCAAGGAAAGGGCTTCAACCTTTTACAGTCTTTCAAGGATCATGCAATGTTAATGAGTTTTATAAATATTTAATAATAATAATATTTTTTAATAATAGAAAGTTCTACAGCTTTCAGAATATTCTGCGATATTGCTACTTTAAATATTGACACTCAGAATCAAATTTCTGAAATAACGCTCCTTTTTTTCCTACTTACCTGTATGACCAATATGATACCTAAATATATGTTAGGTATTGATTATACAATGCACTGCGTTCACATAGACTCCTAAATCTGTGTGGTTGCTGCCTACATAAATCTTACTGAAACCCATGTAGATAGGAGGGCTTAAATGTGTATTGCAGGAGCCTGCAAATCAAGCATATGAATAACTGTCTGCCCAGGAGTTTCTTTGCAAAATTGCAGATACAGAAATGGAGGTCTAGATTAACCTGGCACACTGCAGTAGAGCTGTAAACAAGGGACTCCCGCAGCTGCTCTCTGAAGTAGGCAGAAATCTTACACCTATCAGACTGCACACTGTGTACTCACCATGTCACACTAAACTGATTTATTGACAAGTTTAGTATGACTCAATCAACACAGAATTTTACAGCCCACCAACTAGCTAGTTTGGGGAATTGGGATGCATCACCTGTTCCTTCATCTTCCCTAAAATCAAGGGATCCAGATAACAAAGACTTCAGCTTCCCACTTTCCTTCCAGTCTAGGTAGTAACAGCTGATGCGGCCACATAATAACTGAGACCCAATATTCAAAGTTCTGATGTTTCTGCTTGTAAATTAAATTCCTGTTTCCAGGGTCATTGGCTTGCAACGAGCTCACATAATAGTTGGGTTTGTTATCATGTGAGCAAGATGATAAAACCTAAGTTTCTGTTTTGTTTTTGTAGTAGTTGTTATTGTTGCTACTGTTAGAAAAGTTCAGAGTGTTTTTTTTACGTCTGCTTTCATGAAAAATTAGATTTAAGCAGCTGGAAGCACATACAGGAGGTGCTAACAGGTTTAAAATGCAGCAAAGACTATAAAAGTGAAAAGGACATGCTGCGCAAACGTGTAAAGATTATTTAAAGAAGATATTTTAGCTGTCTCACAGAAAGTACTACTTAACATTTGCAGGTGCACTGGCATCCAGATCTTATGCTGATTGTCTGCTGCAAACACCACTGTCATTAGCAGTAATAACTCACTGTTTCTAATCTGTAGCTCAGGCTCTTCAGTTTTGTTAGTAATTTGAGCTATGTTTTATAATAGCATGTGAAACAGGTTTCTGAGTATTGGCTTCTTTGCTCTCACAGAGCCTTTTGGCACCTTCTTTTTTTTTCCTCTTGACTGTACTATCACTTAGGTATATTCCTGATTATATGCACATAGCTAATTTATTTTCATGTGAGGAGATTCTGCCAATTGGGTATCTCTTCGTCTCTATTTCTGTTGCAAGAGCCCTTCTTTCTTAAATAGCAGAGAGTGGAAATAACATCTTCATGCATTTTTGATGTGTTTTTGCAGTTTTTTTCATCAATTTTAAATGTATAATACCTTCAAATAATTATTCATTTATATAATGAAAACAGCATGTATGTGTTTTTATAAGTGCAAAAAAAAAAAAAATACATATATATGTTTTTATTTACTGTTGTTGTAACTGCTGTTTCTGTGGGCATTATTAAAGGTTATTGTCAGTATCAGGCATTTGCTTAAAGAATCCCACTCTGTGAACATGTCAGTAAGATAAAAAGTATTTTTTCTTGTCCTTTCTTAAATGTCTTAAATTCAGCAAGAATGTTTACAGTAAGGAAACAAAAATTCAGTATTATTAAAAGTACCTTGTGTATTTGCTTTCTGCTACTATCATAAGCCTTTTAGGGTGTGGCTTTTATCACATCTAAAAATCACTAGTGCTAACGTCCTTGCTTTTCCCATTTGTTCATTAGCTACCATGGTTTATAGTTTAGTCTGGAGTACTCTTTTCATAGTTCTTCTTGCACTGTCTGTATAAATCACTGTGCCATTCCATTTTGCAGTTCCCTATTCAAAAATGAAATCCTGACTCCAGGGAAATCAGTGGCAAAGTACATCAACTTCACTAAGCGAAGAATTTCATTCAACCAGATCCCTATTCTTCAGTCTCTCAGTTTGACACAGTATATCCTTATGTCAGGAATTCAGAATGGAACATTTGTTTTCTGCTCTTTGCTATCTGATTCTATCAAATCTTGCATAGAAGTTGGATCAAATTGTATTGTATGACTGACATCAAGGCAAATTACAGATATTTCCAGAAAGAGAAGCCAGTGCAGATAACTCATTTTCATGCTGACCAAGGCTTTAATGTCACTGGAAGTCGTCAGAATGAATGTCACTAGAGCTGAGCTAGCAAACTGAAGTTCATTTGCTAATTGTTTTAGTCTTGTTATCGTGTCAAGGCCCTATTGTAAGTACATTGTCTTCTCTCTTCTTGTTGCTGGTATTTTAGACAGCTACTGAGAAAAATTTGAACATGGTTCATTTTTTTTTTTGTCACATTTTATCAATAAAATGTATTACTGTCTTTTTCTATGTGTGCTCTGAAAGCTCTTGAAGCATGTGCCGTATTGTGAAGTGGCAGATCAGATGGCAGCCAAGTTATTTTTTCTAAAGGACGGAGGTTTTTTAGTAGATGTTTTTGCAGTAAAATGCTCTATCTTCTTGAGAAAAGGATCAAAATATCCTTGATTAGTAGTAGTCATCCCCAGTTTGAGAAGATTTTTTCAGCCTGGTTAAGGTCAGTAGCGTAGGAGGCAATGCAACAGAGAGGTATCTTGTTTCAGTGATGCTTGCTATTTGGAACAAGATGTTATTTGGTATAAACGAGAACTGAGACAAGAGCAACAGAGTTTAGCTCATAGCTACTATTTACTATTAAGAAAAAAAACTTTCATTTTGGTTTTTTGGGGGAGAGGGAAGGAAGGACAATTTTTCAGTATCCTGTAGGGCTTTGTGATTATATTTCCAGTGGAGATAAGTCTCCATAAGTTTCTTGTGTGATTTTAACCAAGTTTTGTACTTCATTTCGTTTTCTTCTAACTTCATTTACTAAATAACATAAACAAAAATCCTTTTAAAAAGATTTTTCTATCAGCTCTTTCAAGCTTCATCAAGACACCAGAACTTCACTGCTTTTTTATTACTGCTATCATTTCAGTTCATCCTTTTTAGAACTGGCAAGGTTATGTTATATCACTGGCCTTAATTAGATGTTCTTTGCATTTTATTGAACGTGTTCAAGTATTCTTATAAAGAAGGTATACTATTATGAATTGTAACTGCTGTCTGAAAGTTATTTTACCTATAGGGTCTCATGGTTTTAAACTGAAGGACTACTGAATATACATAGTTCCTGCATACCTAAGAATGTGTCTGTATCTACCTATCTGTTCATCTGTTTTATTTGTATTTTTGCTTCCTTTAGCTCAGGACACCTGTACTAACCACCTGCACTTTGCAGGCAACTTATAACTTAAAGTGATTCTCTGCTGAAGATTTAATTACCTGTACTTAGTTGCTGTTTCTCAAACTGTTTCAAGATGTAATTAGTTGAAACTTTAATCACGTTGCAGTACTTGTATGTGTGTATGCTTGCAGGGGGATTAAACATGAAGTGACATAGTGATGAGTAAACAGGTATGACCTTTATCTAGCTCAGTAGTTGTTCAAAATAGCTATAGCAGAAATGTGAAATGAGTTACAATTTACTCTGGTAATATTTGCTTCATATGCAGACATCTGTTATTCTGCTGCATCCATTAAAATATTTTCTTCAATCTTCGTTAGATTAAAATATTGTTTAATTTTCCACAGAAAACATCTTTGATATAATTGCTTAAAAATAGACATTCAAATGCATTCTTATTTTACTATTTCATGATAAAGTCCAAATATTGTGAGAGAACTGTGCCACTTTTGGATAGAAAAATGAAGTAAGCATCTGTTGGCTAGCAGTGAGAGACCTGATTTTCTATATCTATAACATGATTAGAAAAAAATCATCGAACAATCACTGAGAATGGAAGGAACAGCTAGAAATTATCTAGTTCAACCCATTTACTTAGAAGTTTCTTATCCCTTTTCAGTATCTTCAGGGAAGAAGTCTTCACCTTTGTCTAAATGCTGTGCTTGGCCACTTCACAGTTGTGGAGGAAAAAAAAAGATAAAGAAAAGAAAAAGGCTTTTTGTTTGCCATGATTGTTTTATTATTATTACTATTATTTATGCGTAGGGGGGACTTCTCATACTGCAATATGTACCTAGTGCTTTTTCTCCTAGTAGGCATCACTGATAAGGTTCTGGCTTCATCATCTTTATTTATTCCACTAGGTACTTGTGCATTGAATGGCACCTCGCTTACCATAAATTTATGTTTTTTGCTTTGTCAGTTTGTTTGTGAGAAAGCAATGAAAGCTTTGATAAAATCAAGTTTAAAAACCTTCACTGCTCTCTCTAATTCCGCCAATCCTGTTCTCTTTTCATAGGAAGTTATCAAGTTGGTTCATTGGTTCATCCATGCTGATGACCTGAATACTGGAAACCACTTCTACTTGTTCCATCACCTTTAGAGGAATGCTGATGAGGCTGACTGCCTTGTGGTTCCCTGGATTATCTTTTTGCCCTGCCTAGAGAAACCAGCAACATTCTCATAGGTCTTCCCCTTCAACCTCAGAAATCTCCTCCAGTTGTTGTGATCTTTTCAAGATAATTGAGTGGCCCTGCACTGATGTTAGTGAGCTCCCTGAGCACTCACAGTTCATCCCATCAGGCACTATGGCTCTGTGTATGTCCAGGTTGTTAACTGTTCCCTGAGAGTCCTGTTCTGAGCGTCTTTCTTGCTGTAGAATTTCCTGTAGGTCTCAGGAACCCAAGGTAATCTCAGGTAAGTATTCTCAACTTTTTTCTCACTTTTTCTGTTTGTTTTTTTTATTATTTTTTTTTTTTACCTTTTTTCTTTTTCATTTTTCCTTTTCCCCTTTATCTCTATGTCTGCTTTTATATATGGTCTGTTTGGACGCTGTCTTTGGCCAAAACGTTTCTCCCATGTATCCAAACTGTTCCAATAGCTAAACTCTTAGGCAGACTTTTAACATGTATTTAGAATTAACCTGCAAGAAGGAAGTTCAAAAGGTTATTCTTTGAGAAACTTCTGCATATTTAGTTGGTTGCACCATTAAAAATCATAATGTAGTCCATTGAGCTGCCCATCTACCAAGTAAACATCTTTCTGTTTTCTTATTACTTTTTACCTTCTTTTTTATGTGGTTCCTACCCTGTGGGCCTTACAGAATAGATCACAGTCACTCTCCCTTCTTGCATGGAGAGCATTGGAACATGCCAAGTTTTGTGTGTACATAACCATGAGCAGTGTGCTAGTTAGCTTGAATCACTTTGACAGAGATGTTCACAGCTTCTGTGATTACTGTTAGAGCTCTTGGAACTCAAACACAACCTGGGAATTATTTTTAACTGCAACTTGCTGGACCAAAAAAGAATTCATTGATTATGAAGGTCTGTAAAGTTTGGGTTTTTCCCCTCTTACCATGTTATGTAAGGACAGCACTAGGATTTCACAAGATTTTTCAGAACACATTGTCATGTAAGTTGAGGTATTTGAGGTGTTGCTGAAGTATGACTTCCATTAATGTGAGATAGTTTCAGAGCATTTCTGACTGAAAGACTTTTCCAGAAAATGGGTAATATATTTCCACATTTCCTGATGGTCTTAATTGACCATAACTGAAAAACTAGGTCCCTTAAGCCCACAAATACTGATAATTGTGGTTACAACATTTTTTTCTAATTGAAACTATAGCTAATCCTCAAAAGGAGGATTTAGCAATACTAAGTATGAGATTTAATGCTGCATATCCTTTTTTTTCCATGGACAGATTTATCTGATGCTTGCTTACATCCAAACTGAAATGAAAATCTATTTTTGCTGATGTTTTAGTACATTCGTTTATTACAAGTTAGTAAAAAAAAAAATTGCTATGGAAATTAGATGCATTTTTTATTAAGTTGAAGTACAGAGCTAATTTAAAATAATCTAATAAAAATTACTAAGAAGTGGAGACTTTAGTTAATATACTCAGCAGGAATACCCATGTGCTTCTTACTAGCCTGCAGACTCCACAGTATGAGGTGGCTAACTTGATAGCCCAGGTGTTGTGAATTGTGTTTGTCATGCTGTGCTTCTTTGGGAATTGAACTCTTCACTCATATTGCTGAACCAACAGAGATGGATTTTTCTCATTAACTGAATCCCAATAAGGTAATCATTATAGACTTCTTTTAAATGGATCTCTGTATTTGATGTGTATTATTCATTCCACCAAAGAAAAGCCTTTGGCTAATCATATTTTAATGACCTACGGGACTTAAAGGGAAATATAATTATTATTCAGAAAATCTTCTGTATTTTCTTATGCAGCATGCGGCTTAATTAAAGGGAGCAGACTGAAAAATAAAACACTAAAATTGGTTAAACATGAAATATGTTTGTTTTCAGTTGAAATCTCTCAGTGGAGGAAGAGTTATTCCAATGAAAAGTAGGTGTTTCTGAAAAAAATTAATGGAGGTCTAGTCATTAAAACATTTTAGCTTCTGAAAATCATTTCATTTCTTACTTTTTTTATTATTTTTCATTAATTCCAGCATATTTATATTGAAGGATTAGAAAGTCATTTTAATTTTCATTCAGTTTGTAAAGAATCAGTCTGTGATAGTTCTGAGTTTAATAAAGTATGTTTTATTTCAGTTGACTATTTCTTGGATTTGTACAACATTCTCTTACTATATGTTATACGCTTTTCATATACAACTACAGAGTAGCCTTTTCTTGTTGCAGTACTGCGGGTTTCTACTACTGTTTTGCAACACATCACACTTGACCATATAATGGAAAGACACAACCTATGGTCTTTTGAGTGATTGTGTCGGTGGTTGGAAGTTAGCAGCCCCATTATGTTGTACCTGAGTTAATTAACCACGAGTGGCAGTTAAACTTTCCTGCAAATGAAAGAAGCAGAAAACACAGATAGAAAAAAATGGAGGGAGGACCACTAGATCACAGTCCCCTGAGGTGACTGCTCAGCTTCTGTGTATAATTTTTGATGCCTCACTCTAGAGAGCATACAGAAGACAAGAGCCTAAGTCTTCTCAGAGCAAATAAATTTCACTTCAGACACTTTCAGGCAGTAAACTCAGAACATATTGAAATAATGGGAAATTGACCAGTCTTGGTGTACAACTGCAAGCATTGTCCATGTTTCAGATGCACAGTGAAAATATAGCAGTGCTGAAAATGTTTCCCCTGCCTTGACATCGTGCAAAATCTGAGTGAGAAAAAATTTTCTTT